TCCGTAGTCCACGCTAGACCCCTTGCGTTGCTCTCAGTTGGCGGATCAAGACAGCGGAGACAGTGATGGATCATCGTGCACATGCGAATCCACAGACTCAACGCCTTCGCCGGCCACATCACTGTCAGAGCATGACGCATTATATTTTGCGTTTGAAGACATGTCAAATGCGTTTCCAGCTACTACTGGGATGGTGCTGATAGACGGACAATCTCGTTAGGCGTTAGCTGAGGCCCAATTCCAAGCACGCGGCCAATGATGTGCGAATATTTGGTGGGGCAAGCACAAGGTCATCAGGTTTAAAGGGCCATGGAACCCCGCCCCTGCCAGATACCAGTCCTCTGATAGCAATAAAGCCATACAAACGCGAACAACACGAAAATGAATAACTTCAATGAATTGTATGCGGTGTATACGTGCGATCGAACAGAAGTTCGGTCGCTCTTTGACGCAATCGTTCAATCTCTCCCATCTCTTACTCCGACTGCGCAGAAAGAGTCAGCGAACGGCAAAATGCTCCGTTATGACGAGACACCTGAGATAGCAAGCTTTAGCAAATTTATTGATAAGAATGTGAGTTTCGCGCTGGGCGATAATTGGCTATGGCTAATCAGAACACAAGCTCCCTAATAATGTGGGTGTTTTCTTCGGTCACCGCATAGAGCGGGGGGAGCGACAACATGAACCAGTCGCGGCATATTTAGAAGGAGACGCTTGGGTCGTTGTTGAGCCGAATGAGGTCGCCATTCTAACTCCGCTATCCAGCGAACCTGCCAATATCATGCTCGGGAAATGGAACACGGCGGAGCGCAAGGTTCAGGAAAGAGGGTTTATAAATCATGCTGTTAGTTCTTATCTTATCTTGCCGGAGGTTAGGTTTCGGTTTCTTCCGCAGGGGGTACCGTTCCACTTGGCTGTATTTCCGATAAAAAAGTTGGAAGAGAAGCTGCGTTCTCGCTGAAATCCACGTCCTGTAACTCGTTGCTGATGGGAATGTCCACGTGTGCCATTGTAGATGTCGCCGGGATGCCGTCGAACATTCCCTCCCAGGATGTGACTGAGAAGGTGTTGCACATTGAATCCCAGTTTTCCGATCTCAATCCGTAAAACTGCATGTATTCTTCCAACGTCTGGTGCTGCACAGGATCTGCAATGCCAGTCACAGCCCCCCTTGCAACGTCACCCTGCGGAGCAGCGTGAGAAGTAGAGGCCGAAATTTCCGGGTCGGCATTCGACGCCTCGCTGGCATCCAACCTCTCCGCAGTCTCTTCTGCGCTTGGTCTGTGCCTCTTTGAGGTAGGACTGTCTTCGACCTGGGGTCTCTTCTGCCCGGCTGCTGCGCCAGTCCATTCTCCGCCGCTCTCGCCAGCGTGCGCCGCGTTCTCAGCCTCGGAGCCGCCTGACCAAGTCATGGATTCTAGGTTGAGGTCAGGAGCGCTGTTGCATTCCGGCATGTGATGTACATGCATGATGTTGTCGTGGCTGCCGTTTATAACTGGAGTCGTCCTGCCACGGCGTGAAGGTTCAGACTCGCGTCGTATGCTGACATCGCGTACGGGATCGTAGGGTCTATTCGCAGCTTTGGTGAGAATAGGATCTAACAATTCCACTACCTTGGACTGAAACGGACATGGTGTATCTGCTCTTTCGTCTCCTAGTGGCATTGACTCTAGAAGCTCGCCAAGCATCATGTCCGTAAACAATTCCATGCATGAGAATGCCCGGTCGCTTGCGCCAAACGTTGACGAAACATATTCGTATGTTAGAAGCTGCCCTTCCATCTGGTAACGATACCAGATACAAAATGACACAGGGTGGAAAACAGGGACGACTCGACGTAGAGCACGACTACCCTCGAGCCGCTGGGCAATATATGGGAGAACTGAACGCAAAGCCCACTCCAGACCATCTTTGAGGCCAACCCAATCCTCATCAGAGGCTTTGCAGATTGAGTAGAAGCTCGTAGTAGCGTGGCCAAAGACCGTAAGAATGAGCAAGCCAGCCATGCCAAAAGGTGCAAGGAGCTGAATCACTCTTGACGCCTTGCGTGCTTGCCGTTTTAGGTCGCCACTCTGCACCACCAAGTTCTTGTCGACAATTTCGAAATGCAGTAAGGCTAGGTTCATGAACGATACCACCCAGTGAAGGTACTGTGATGTCTTGGCGTTGCCCTTTGTTGCGTTGCGCATTTTGCTGTAGACAACTGTTGCATCATCCTTCTCTAAGGCATAGCGGCGCCACAGGCTTAGCAAAGAGGGCTTCGACTCCTCGTCAAACCTGCAGAGTCGAATTGCTAACTTGAAATCATCGCCGTCGTGCATCATCCGCCCAAAACCACTCGCAAAGGTAGGCAGCAGCGGAGGGCCACCAATGACTTCCAGGCCAGCCGGGGTTGGATGTACGACGCTAGGTTCAACGCTTTGCTGAGATTGACACTCAGCGTCGGCTGGTGGACTAGCGGACTGCTGAGAACTCGCCCTGGATAGAGCGTCGTTTGCCTGGTTAGGTCTGCACGTCCGTACGCTGGGGAGCACATCTCTGCTGCATTTTGTAATACAGGTCCCTAATTGAAAGAGAATAAAGCGCGGATCTTCCTGCGGCGCGGAGGAGCAACACTGCTTAGCCGTTGCTGTGCAAATGATATAAAGGCATCCATGCTGCTCAACCTCGACGATGTGTAGAGTATCCTCTACAACATGTTCGTCAGCGCGACGGACAGCGACCAGAACAACACTGTTATCGTCTTGGCGCCGGCCACTGATGTCAATCTCGTGCGGCAGATCGTGTTGGACGACGGAGGCTGGTAACAACTCCATGGGCTTCTGATGGTTGTAAGACGGTGGTCGTACGATGATGGTTGTGGGAAGAGAGAAGGTCGGCGGGAAGGAGGAGGCAGATTCGTCCTGCAATACTGGCGCACCTATGACAGTCTCAGCCGCTCACCAACGGTACGCTCCTATAATCGCCTTTTACCAACTTGGCACTCCTAACATGGGGATACGGACACTACATCCGTAGCGGCGCATACAGATGTATGGCCCACTTGGCTCGGCCGGTTTGGCCAAACCGGCCGAGCCAAGTGGGCCATACTCTCTGCCGAAACAATCGTGCAGACGGCCATTGAATACCAAATCAGCCGCTTCCCGGGTCGAGAGGGGGTCATGTGTGTTTCTGCAGGGTGCTAACTTGGCCACCATGGCCGCCAATAACGGTCGCACTCAGCATAGACTCGATGGCTGCCGTGGACAATTTACAGAGACAACGGCGACCCAGATCATGGGTCCTAGTCCAGCCACTCTTTCCAGCGTCTTCGGGAACGGATGTGCAGGAACCGGTCACCATCCTGATTTCCAATTCAACGAATAGCTCATAGTGGGCCCGTAAGATCTTGGACGATTGATGGGCGCCTTCGCCATTGAATTAAACCGCTTCGAGCGCAACAGGGCCTCATGAAGCATGCCATTCTGGCGCGAGCTACACATGACCTGGCAATGCCCAGGTCCTATGCAGGTTCTATGCGAATAAGATACACTACTTATGGCTCGGCATCCCCGACAACATCAAAATGCAGGCCACACCGCTCTTCGCAATGCTGCCTAGCATTGATCCTCTGGAATACATCTCAGGGTTCACGACATATGCTATCCTCGTTGTATATCTCGCAATCAGGCTTTCTTTCAAAGAAACCTTTCCTCTCGTGGTCGGACTCCCGTTATGCATTGTCTCGTTATTAGTATGCGCGCTAGTATTCGGCATATCACGTCTCAGGGCCGACACAGGGCTTCAGTTCGGATCCTTTAACGCTTTACGACTAGCGAACTGGCTGTGCATAAGTATACAGGCAGTAAGTGTCTAAACACGGTTTTATTGATCAGACTCAGGCTGATGCTGATAGACCGAATTGAACATAAACCTGCTCTATCAAGTCGACTCATACCTTCACATAATCATATGGGCGCTGGGCTACATAGCCTCACCATGCCTTGTTATATTCGGCTTTCGAAGCTACCTTGCTGTGCAGTCGCAATGGTGTTGGGTTTCTATCTTGGTTATGAGCATGGTCCCAGCCTTGACAGCTTACAGCATTGCCAGTGCTATCAACGACGAGGACCTACGGCGGGATACTCTGCGCAAAGTGCGCAGAACTATGGCTTGGCTCGCGGTCCCAGTACTTACTGGCCTGGCATTAACACTACCCTGCTGTGTTCTTTCTGCTGAGCAAGTGCCCCCCCTACATAAACTCCAATTCTCTACTCATGGCACACTGGGTCAAGTGGTGCTCGCGCTCTTGCAGAGAAAAAGTCTACTCGGAAGAATAGGGCGAGACTATGACGACAATGAACATAGAAGAGCTTCTCCAAGTACATCTAGGGAGACTTTGGCGAATCACGCAGAGGATCCTGAGAACGCGTTAGTGGACTTGGACCGCGATGTCACCGGCGCCTACCACCTGCAGCTTCAGGAGATATACAAACCCAGACCTCAGAACACTTGAATCAAATTTATCGAATGTTTCTTGGCTACAAAGGGGCCGACCCACCGAATCACTTCGTTCGAATGTACTTGTAAGAAACAGCCACTTAAGCTGAACCCCAGATTTAATACATACCTATGTCTACTTCTTTCTTTAATGAAAATAGCTATTCTCCGCCATAGTCCTTCGCTCCCCGGTGCCTGTCACTAGTCTAGCCACGAACAGATGAGTTCCCTTGGCGGCGGCTTCTACAGGTACCGCTGTACATACTTCCTCTCTTGTAGCTGACATCTCCGCGTGGCTTTTTAGGTATTATGAGCGAACGCTCGTGGTCTTTTCCGGAGCAGACCTTCACCATACTCTATTTGCGGATGGACATATGAAGATAGTACCTGGGCTCACTCTACTTTGCCACCCAGAGACAAAATTCATCTCGCAAGCAGGGCTAGTTGGCCGGGTCAAGGACGACTATACGCCGGCCTGTTAACCTCCATAATTAATTACAAATGAAGGAGGGGGGGGCCTTTAAACTGCCACCATGTCCCGTAGAATTCAGAATCTCCAGACCTTCTCCATCCCATTGTGCAATCACCCGTTCGAGCTTTCTACTATACCTCATCGTGCATCTCCCCCTTTCCTCAGAGAAGAATTTCTGAATCGTTCTAGCTTTAATAACTCCTCCTTCTCAACTTTCTCGCTCTCCTCCCTCTGTTCAACTTCATCCCAAACCCGTTGCACGAAATGACACGTCCTAAAGTTCTCGACGAGCAGCGAAGACGAATTCGTCAGGCCTGCGGGACCTGTCGGAAACGTAAGCAAAAGGTGCGATGGAAACTATTCCGAAAACGATCCATGGGAATGCCCACCGGATGACCACCCAAGCAAGGGAGAAGCGAAAGTTATTGACGAGATGAGACAGTGCGACGGACAGACCCCTTGCTTTCACTGCAAGAAGCGAGGAAACGGCTGCTCCTACGATGCTCCTCGCACCCGCATCCCGACGAAAAAAGGCATCATGCCTTCCCCTAAGAACTTACCCAATTTGTTTCCGCCGCAAGGCATAAAATCGGGATCTAGAGACTCACCTCCGTTACGCTCGCCTCTAGCCACTAGCTTCCCTTACCACAGACCGTGCGATTCCCCGTCGGTCATGTCGGAATGGAGCCAGCCGCCCGATGCTCAGCTGGAAAGGTACGAACCGGTGGCTGCTCCTAGAGTCCCTAATCGATCTGGCGTCCCAGTCTGTAGGTACAGCCCCAATTCGCCTTCTCTTCCTATAACCCTAATCAGCTAACACGATGAACTTGCACGTAGTTGGCTCCTCGTCGGCTAGTTTTCTCGCAAAGATCAAGAGTTCCACGGAAGAGGGCGAGCTCAACAGCCTCTTCTCCCTACGCCGCCTCGTTGACGAGCAGATACCACGTCGATTACCGGCTATGGGCGGCGTCGTTGGCGAGGAGCCCATTTATGTCGACATGGGTCCCTCCGGAGGAGCAGCGGTTGGCCATGATGTGCCGAGCGCTGGCAGCACCGACGACGGCGTCGGCCGCTGCTTCTCCGCAGCGCCGGATCACATGGACACGGCGCCGGTGGGCGCGACAGGCATGATGCAATTGGGTGCGTGGAGCGCACGCGCTCCCCCGAGCATCAACCTGACGCACTGCGCGAGCGATGCAGGGTGCTATGGGTTTGCGATGCAACAGGACGGATACGAGGGCAACGCCATGCAGGTGACGCAGGACTATACGACGTATCGGTGGGGGGTGGAGGCCCTGGAAGAGAAAAGGAACGATCTATTAGACCTCTCATGGAAGAATAATGGCCTATACGTCTATGCATTCTCCCGCGACATAGCTAGGCGCTGCCCGTAAAGGGCTGTCGACAACAAGGCATAGAATGTGAACGATGAGGCAAGCCAGAAAACGAACTTGTCCACCTGTGATATCCACAATGCATGTTGTGGCTGCATCTGGTTGATAAGAAGATATATATATAAGTCGATGCCCTCTTCGTAGCAATACGCGAGAGTTGCTCTTTCAATTTCTATAAGGAATAACAAGCAGCACCGAAAGAATCCCGATTGCGGCAAGAACAGCTGCCAAAATTGCCTGATCATGATACAACCCCCTGAAACGCAGGCCGAAGGCAGAAAAAGGAGTTGAGAAGCTGACGACGAACGCGCGTCGAAGACCCAGAAGCTAAACCACGAAAGCCAAAGCGACAGCCTCTCTGGTCTTAGAACGTTTTTGCATCATGTACCGGCCCCCCTCGGCGACGATATCGTACCTACGACATGCTCAGAAGCTGTAGGGCATCAAGACAAACCATGTGCTTCAATTCTAGCGTCACCATGCCTGGGCCAAGGCTCTGTCTGTAGAGAAGCAGGCGGAAGTAAAGGCCAGGCAATCTATATCCCCTCTGATTCAGAGTCAGAGACAGATGGCGAAGCAGACGATAAAGCACCATCGTTTAGAAAGCGCAATACGCTCATCCACAAGGGGCCCACAAGACAGCCTAACAGCCCCTCGCCAGGTTAGTCAGTTTCCCAGACTTTTAATTAAAGGAAGCAATCAAAACTAATTAGTCTAGTAGCACCGACCATATCAACTGTGCCTAATACACCATGCGCTATGTCATCAGGTCTTGAGAGAGATGGCGACTTTGAGGATGTGCAACACTCCCCCTCCCCGTCTCCCGTCACTTCGGTCTCCGCAAGGCCAAGACCACAACAGCGCGGCCGTGTCGAGCCACCGCAGAGACTGAGCCACATGAGAGTGCCAGCCGGAATGCGATAAGAATCCCTCACGGCGAAGACAGCTATCAGAGTCGCCCAATCATGACAAAGACACGAGCTAAATTAGTGAATGAGTGCAAGTCAACGACGCAATTGGTAGAGCTCTTCTCAATTGTCGAGGAGCTCGGATCAGATATGATCGAACGTCTCGACGCCCTGCGTGATGAAATGGTCGATCGTTTCGACGACCTTAAGGATAAAATGGTCGATCAGGATCAAGATGACAACTAATCGCTCTACTAAATTGCGCAGTTGGGGAACCAAAGCCTTTCACCATTGCGCCGTATACTTGTGCATTTATGAGGCAATCACAGGGAACAAAGAAGCTGCTGAAACGCATGTGTCATTCCTCCTGGCCTCTGATGAACATGGTGCTCGTCGTTTTCTCTGTTCCATCATGAGTATGTTACCACAAGAATGGGAATGCTACAACTTCAGGATCGATAACAGTTCGCCGCCACTGAACGACTGTTCGCGAGACAACGACAAAATGGACGCTGAGCGACAGTGCACCGCAACACGGGAAGAGCCGCTGAGTGATGATTTGGGAGCAGCATGTTATGAGTAATGTTTTCAGGTCTGTACCAGAGTCAGCAGACGAGCAAGCACATCCAGACTACATATATAAGAGGCAGCACTTTGTCTTAGACGATCTAAAATGATGATTCAACTCGAGCTACCAGGTATCGAATTTCAAGGACCCTTTATGCCTAACAACGCGGACAATGGACTATGTAACGTGGCCGGAGGCTATAAGCGTGCATTATACGTGGCAGATTATCTTTGTGGTATTTACGGAAGCTGGTGACCTTGATGCGCGATCCCTGGCAAACGAGACGCTAGGCCGTCTAACGAAAAGGACTCAATGTCTATCGATTCTTATGAAACTTCACTGCTCCATTGGATCGATCCCCCTAGAGAAGGGCACAATACGTGCAGACTCCTTGCGTTTGAGCCAAGAGGTAGTAGAGATCATTCGCGATTGGAACAGGTGGGAGTGGCCCAAGGAGGACAGAGTCATGTTTCGCGAAGCTCTGGTCAGTAACACTGATATAGTCTCGTCTCCAATGCTAATTCGACATAGATGCACTTGAGGAGGGCTATCCACGAAACAGCTAGACACCATGAGGTCTCGGTGAAAACGTGGTATTTGTCTGACAAGGAAAAGTGTTGGGAGCTCTATGTATTCATTCGAGATCTGTCTATTTCTGAAGAACGTTATGGTGAGATCTCAGCGGGGTTCGCTGCAATCAGGCTAGGGAATGTGCCGCATTAATGGTGTATTGTTTCCAGGCACAGCCTCAAGCCCACAGACGAGGAGGAGTAGGCGTGCGGCGGTGGTAGCTAGTGACCGGTAAGCTCCTTTCTGGTCAATTATAAGAGAAATAAATTGCCTACATCCTAGTGATTCTTCTCTCTTTCTCCTTCCCTATATTATGATTTCTGCATATTCTAGACCTTTGATTATGGCTCATCAGAACCCTCGGTATCATAATTTATTATACTCAGCCATGTTGCCATACGATGCTGGACTCCATTATGTGAGACGCATCGGCATTTTCCCTCCACAACGCATAAACCTGTTACCTTCCAGCACCGAGGCAATGACCAGGAACCCCCCAATGGACAAATTTTTGGTTCTTACGGCGTCTAAGATACGTCACCTTGGTCTCTTGCTTACCGAAACAGTCTTCAACGATATTCAGAATGCCGTCCTAGTCGTCGACGATACTCGAAATCTCGTCCGAAATATGCCAGGTGTCGAGATGTTAGACAGAAATGCCTATATAGCTCTCCAGAGCCTCGAGGCGATGGTACTACAGCGAGCTGGGTCACTCCTGTTTGAAAAAGCCTTGGAGGAACTTGGGCGCCACATCCGTGAAGAAAGGTGGGTTAGCTAGGCGCCGTTCCTGCCTATAACTAATTTCAACAGACTAGCCGAGGAATCCCATGACAAGTGCTCGCAGAATATTGTGTGGAATTATTGGCAGCTACAGTTGTGCGTGTCGCTACGTCTTGGTAATGGAAATAAGACTAACTGTACCTCCAGCGAAGGGGCTGATTCGCCATTCCTACGCCACGATTGGGGACGAATCATAGTCGAACTACAATGTTTAACGATACCTGATCAAACAGAGGCTCCGTGGGCGTACCAATCTGCGAAATATCTGGAAAGTTTCTGCGAACTATATACTGCGCAGGACCCGCCAAGTGTGAAGATTTGTATGCTTTTCTCACGTCCCCGCTTGAGCGGTGATTATGAGCTACTCAAAGACCTGTTTGTCAAGCTCTCGTTCAGTATGGTGTATATTGACAAGTTATCCGTTGATGAGAAGAGGGAGCTTCTTAAACGGTACGGCGAGTATATGCGCTTCTGCCAAGACGCTACACCGAAATCTCGGCTTTGGGGCTTTCGACGGTAAGTAAGGTATTCCC